CGCTGGATCCTTTTGGAATATACAAACAGAGCCCTCATTTCCACCCACCCAAAAGTTAAGAATGTTATCAGACAGTGTCTGAGGCCCAAAGCAGAACCTCCCTCCTCAACTATAACTGTCTACCTGATATTTCCAACACGTTTTTTAAATGTCATGACTTGTAACTTTCTCTGTTTTGTTACCACAGAAGACTTCATGAAACTGTTACCACAATTGCAGCACCGTATTTGGACAAACCCAAGCCTGTATTTCTGGAGCATGGTCACTCTGTTTTGGTTCCAGAATAAACCACCTTTTATTTCTTTAGAGAGGACAGCTGTTATGGGCATCAAAAGTATAACCCCCCAAGTTGGGTTAGTCATATTCCAGTTGCTCATTATATACTACAAGCAAACAATCTATAAGCCTCATCAGGATAAGAACTGATGGGTACTTCCAAGGAAGGGCTTTTACTGAGAATGCGCTCTGACCTTGGTGTGGCCAGCAGTTATCAACACGGAGCAATAAGGCAGACGCAATCTCCAGTCACCCTGTAGCTCCCAGCGGTTGCCAGAGCCAGTCTCAGGGAGCAAGGAACTCTGTAGGCCTATAAGATAAACATCAAAGTTGGCTTTGGGGCCAGATCCAAGCAAAGCTTTCTGAGGAGGAAGAAACCTAAACAAATACAAAGAAGATATAAACAAATACGAGAGGGAAAAATGTTCTTGACAAAGGAATAGACTGTGTGAAGACTCTGGAGGAGCAGGGAGCGCATCAAGCTTGAGGAAATTAATAAAAGGACAGTAAAATTACTTACTCAGCCCCTTCTGTCTCTTAAGATTTGGGGTAAAATTTCTTTTCCTTTCTTCTTCTGTTTTTAGCATTTTATCTGAGATGCTGAGCACTAGAGAAGAAAAAGGCAAGGAGTCATTTGAGCAGAGATTCAGAAGCCAGAAGTAACTAATAACTTCCACCCCCCATGTCCCACACGTTCCCGTACAGAGACTTCGCGGACAGTATCCTTAATCTGACAGCAACCAAGCAGCTGCCCCATGTGAAAGGCAGGCGGAGGCCCCAAGCTGGGTAGTATACCAGCACCATGTTACTCAATCCAGCACAAGCCTCAACTTTCCCTCGCTGTCAGAGTTACACAACTGGAATTTGCTAGATCTGCCTGTCTGCTTGAATGCCAGGTTTTAAAGCGCCCCAATAGTGTTCATGCAACACAACAAAGTATAAAAGCTCTTTTTAGAGAGAAAATAAAAGTTCTCCAGTGACTGCTACCCTTGCCCCTGGCTAGCATTACCTAACGTGGTCAGCCAGAGGAGAATTCAGATGAATGAAGTCTTGGTTACAGAAGCCAAACAAAAGAAATAAGAAGAAACTAGTGCGTCAGAGAAATGTGGTACACCAGTCACGTGTCACCCCCCCACAGAGCAAGTAACGTGGGCAGTGCCCTCCCTCTCCTTGAGAAGCTGAAATAAGTCAAAGATTTATCAATATTCACTAAGCATGGGAGCACTTCTATGGGGCTTCAGAATTTTCCAGAAAAGAATTCAAGTGGGATCATTTGTGCTTGCTGTCTTCTACAATGGTGGTCAAGTCGATCGAAAACATCTAAGACTCCCAGCAACATCTAATACTCCAAGCAGACTTCCTTCACAAAGGTGACATTCCCCTTGAAGATCGCCTTATTAATATGTTGACAGAGATTTCGTGACTGAACATAGGTAAGATTCCTGTCCTATCTTTGGATAAAACGCTTCATTCACATCAAGCAGTGATTAAATATGCAGGGCATGAAATAAGCAGCAAGTTTGGCTTCAAAGCCATCTTGCAAATTGTACGCCATCCAAGCCAGACCATATGCCTTTAAATCTAGATGGCTGCCTACGTATCCAAGTAGTATCCAAGTGCTACTTCTGTACGGCAAGAATCTTCAGAGGAGAAACAGAGGCGAATCAGGGTAGCTGGTGGATAAATACGTGATGATAAATGGTTGAATCCACCGAGACTCAGCTAACCACCCTTCACCATCTCTCTGGGGATGATTATTCTGTTCTGTCAGAGAAAAAGCATCCAAACTGGCAGCTCAAACCCACGTTACTCCTGAGCAGCTCGCTGTGACATCTGTGGTAGTCCTTGTCTAGGAAGTATTGCCACCATCTTTTTTTGGCTCCTTCAACAAACTCCACGCCTACTTCACACCCGACCAGCCTACCGCTGTGCCTCACACCCGAACCCCTGAGCAGAAGATGCAGGTTAGTTATGGGCATGTGACACAGTCTGGCCAATCTGAATCTTCCTTGAGATTGGTACCTGGTCATGAGAGGAAGAGTCTTCAGCCCATAGAGTTGATTAAGGTAGGAGGATGGAGGCCAGGGGGATGCTGGTGGTCTCCTTGCCCTCAATGGGGAGAATCAGCGGAATACAAAATCACTCATGGAAAAGAGAAATGGGGAAAAGCAAAACAGCCCCAAGGGCACTCTCGATGGCCCCCGTGCTGTTCATTATTTCAAGGGACCTCATGAGCATGAGTTAAACAGTATCTGACAGCACGGGAGGGGCTCAAGACATATTACCAACCAACCGCTTTTCCTCCTTCTTCCATGTCAGCAACCTCCAGAGCAGCCTTAAAGCCATCCTCAGCAGCATGCCTACTTGTCTCAGGAAAGCCAGTGAGATGCAAAGGACACAGGTGGACCTGCCCCCCTACGGCAAAGCAGGGCTCCCAGTAGACTCAGAGATGCCCTTGTGGCCAGAAATACCTTTTCCCGCTCCACTCTCTCTTACACAGCCGTCCCACCATAACCAAGGGAGTATTTTTAAAGAATGACACGTCGCTTCCTGGAAGAGGAAGGAAAAGCATTAGTTAAGCCCTAAAGTGGAACCCACGGCAGGAAGTAGGTTACATAAGCGCTTGACAGGCATGTGGTTTTCTAAGGGTCTGAAGCGCCAATCTGTGCTTATTTGGCTGTTAGCCAGTGGTACCATCCTAGGAAGCCGGCAAGCTAGAGTGTTAAAAATACAAAATTTATCAACTTGACAGTGTTTAACCTCATGAAAACAAGAGAGCACGGTGGTAATTAGTGCTAAATATTAATTGTGATTTAAAATTCAATTACTATAGGGCAAGCAAAACCACCATTAATGAATGGTGTCTGTAAAACATACATCTTGTCACCTCTGCACTTTGGGGCAGATAAACCATTTGCTTGCTCAATAAGTGCTCTTGGTTGGTGATCAAATTGGGTTGTTTTTGTCGTACAATCTGCGTGGTGCAAAAAAAAAATCTTAAAGGTAATTCCTAAGACCTTATGTTTGTGATATTTTCAGACTCAATAAGCAGTGCCATAAAACTGTACAATTTAGAACTGAAATGGCTCTTGCAGACTAAAGAAACTAAGGCTCAGACAGGATTAATGATCTGGTAAATGGCAAGGCTGGGACCTCGCGTCATGTGTCCTTGATTTCTGCTGGACGTCTCTCCTCTCTACCCTATCCCATAAGCAATAACACAGAACATTAGTGGTCTAGAAGAGAAGGTTCTTGAAGTCATCTCGCCTTAACTTGTTCATTTACAGGTAGGAAATGAGGCTCAGAAAATGAGGTGCTTGCCAAAGGAGGGAAAGAAAAGCTAAACATATCGATCTCTCTTATCTTCTTGCCACAGATAAGCATCTGCATCAACAGGCACCAAGTATCTCACCATTTAATTTTTCCCAGCTTACAAATACCCCCATCATTCACAGGAAAACCCTGGCGATGTGTCTGGTTAAGTTAGTAAGTTTTGAGAGGGTCTCGGGGTCTCTTAGTCAAGCAAGTGCACGGTCAAATATAAACAGCTGAGCCGAAAACTAGAACCTCCCACGGATGTTTTTGGTGTCTTGCTTCTCCCCCATTCCCACTAGATATAGAGGCTGCAGCTATTTCTGAAAGTAAAACTTGCCTGGCTTCGGCAAGAACGTTCTTAAATAGCCCAAAGTATCAAGTTCCATTTCTGGTGGAGGCCCTTAATAACTCTGCTGTGAAACTGTGGGGTTAAACATCGCGTGCTCCATCTCTCCGCGCTGCAGCTGCGGTGCCATTGCTCCCTGCTTCCCACTTTCCCGTAGGATGTGTGGGACAGCGTGGAGATTCCTGAAGACTGCTCAGCGCCCCACCCCCACCTCCACTCTTTACCCGCCCCCACCTCTCCACCCTCACCCCCGCTTCTGAAAAATTAGAGGAGCGAAGTCACTCTATCTAAGGCAGAACGGGGAGGTGAGAAGCCACCCTGAGAGTTGCCTGTCCGCCTACGGGAGAGCATTAACATTGTTAATCTGCTGGAGGCTTGGCTTGGCTTCCCGGGGAAATGGCTGATAGAGGGAAAAAATGTTTCAGTCGTTTCCTAGCCAGGGGAGGAGGGCACGCTGGTTACTGTTGTTTTATCTTGTTTTCACTTGGACTGTTTCGCAACCTCGTGGTTTGGTATCAGTAACGCGAAACAAACAAATGTCAAATCAGATTACAGGGGAATTACCCACCACTTGCTCTCTTCCAAGTAGTCATCTAAACCCCTACCAGATGTTCAGAAAATAATAGCATCCTTGCCCTAGAAGGGTTCATGGACCTCCTAGAAGAGGATATTCAATAGCAAAAACAATAAAATGCCCCATAGATACTTTGAATTTGGGTAGGATTCACCCTCATCCTGTAGGCTGGGAATGAAAGGAAGGTAGTTCTGAGTAACAAGGCAGTCCCTGGATGAAGAGTCTGCTGTAAACCCTCTGGGATTTAAAAGACTTTGGTTTGTTTCCTTGCTTGCTTTCCCTTCCAAGGACCAAAACTCTTCCAGTGACATTTGCCCTACATCCACATATTCTACCCCCTCCCCTTGTCTTTTGTATTGGAACAGCAAGATGCCCACAGTCACAGAGATGGTGTGAAGGGGTCCTTTCCTTCAGTCCTGGCTTGCCACATAGGTGGCCTCAGACCCAGGGAACACGGAGACCCTGATCAAAGTTTCATTTGATCCTGACCTTGAGTCTTTAGGTTGAGATCAAGCCCGCAGTCGTCACTCGCCGGATGTGGTTCTGTGGCTGTTTTCCTCCTTTTTCTATTTCCCCAGCCTGTGTACCTTGGTCCTTTAGACAAATAGTTCCCCTGTGGAGTCACTTTATTTGTTCTTCAGTTATGTTCTGATTTGCCTGAGTCTCGAGTAAACAAAGGAGGCTGCGGCTACCACCCTTAAACAAAGAATACTAGTCAGTCAGCCCATTAATCCCTGCTGGGGCAGTCGTTGTGTCTGCCAGCTCCGGTCCATCTTTGTTACAGTTACACAGGCAAGGGCCTTTCAGGCAGGTCCAACATCCTATGCATTTCTAAACAAGATTTTTAACCTTTTAGGGTCTGGCTCTCCTCACCTGTCAGGAGGATAAAATGGAGTGATAAATATTGCATTGTGTCAGACAAAGAGGAAGGTGTACTTGCCATGGATGTGTGTGTGTGTGTGTGTGTGTGTGTGTGTGTGTGTGTGTGATGTTGGCATTGATTTTTGTCATTATCCCTAACGTTCATTTGGGTTCTCATTCTAGTTCAGTTTGACTGGGTGGAATAATGCTGGAGCTCAGACGAAGTGTACACTTGATCAGCCACTAGTGAAAGGACAACAGTGGATTTGGCTGACAGCATACACAGATGTCAGAACTTCCAGTTGCTCGGTTAGTAGCACACCACCAAAAGGCAAAAAACGTTAGCAACATGCCTGATACGCCCTCGCCCAACCTCTCAGCTATGATTCCCCATGTTCTTGGCTGATACTGCCCGTTCAACTCCGCAGTTGTCTTTCATGATAGTTTAGATCCATCTGAAACACAAATAGTCCCTTGAACTATTTACTGACTACTGACTGCTCACTAAGAGGAAGTAGAGACACAAAGAAGAGCCTTTCAAAAAGTTGCAATCTAAATTAAGTATCAGGAATGTTACGATTTCAGCCACAATAAGGCTGACACTTACAGGTTCTAGGGCCATCCATGTGCAGACCAGCCCTTAGACAGAAGTGCCGAATGGCCCCAGAGATGTTTAAAGGGTTCCATGTGACCTACCTGAGGTGTAGTTGCATCACCCACGTATGACTCAGTTAAGCCCTTACACGCATTTGTGAGCCTTGTCATCTGCTTATGATACAGTCACATCAACCTCCTGTGCACATACGCTAGGTAGCTTTTAAAAGCTGAATGTGCCCCCCCCTCTTTGCACATGGACTTCCCCAGGCCTGTACACACCCCCTCTAGTAAACTCCTAGGCGGGTTTGTTGCGTGTTCTGTGTTTCCTTCTCACCCACACCAGGTAATTTCATTGGTGCCATGAGACTTGGGATGCTCTCCCCCGCCCCGAGCTCGTCTGCCAGGGTCAGGTTCCGGAATGAGGTATTTTTTTCCACAACAACCACGTGTTCCATCTGCCTGAGTGTGACATCTATGCACACCACCGGCTTCAGTTGGTGAGTTTCCCCCATTCTGGTCAGCTTAACCCTTTCTCCTAACCCAAGGAATTGACTGTTGAGCTCCCAGCAATCCTCTGATGTTCCTAGAAATGGGGGGGGGGCAGCCCCCAACCATGGTCTTTAAGGCTACGGTTGAGCCCTTTACTGACATTCATCTCTGGATTGCTTCCCTTAGCTAAAGTCATGTTTGAATGAGCCTGGGACAGCTGGGGGCCCTGGGTCCCTCAGATTTTTCTTTGTTTTCTTTTAGACCACTTGTTAGTGGTCACCGCTGTGGCCTGTCTGGCTTCTGAGTCACTCCGACAGGAGCCATTCAGGTTTTAATACTCTGCCTGTGGGTAGAGGGCACTCTCCTATAAGCCCTATGGTGTTCGCTGCTGCTTCACACTCTGCCTATAGAGGGGAGACATCCCCCTATAAGTCTTGTGGTGTTGCCGTTTTCGCTGGTTATCATGGCTTCAGCTATGGTTAGCAAGCCATCTAAGACTATCAATCCAGCCCCCTCCTCGCCATGCCTTTTAGAGGCCCTAAAACCCCAGGCCTTAATGCCCTACTTATAGATTCCCACACTTGTCCATTACAATTTAAATGACAATTGAAAGTGGCCACCTAATGGCATCTTTGATCCCTAATTTCTATGGGAGCTTTCTAACTACTGTCAGCACACAGGCAAATGGAAGGAGTTTCCTTATTATCCAAACCTTTTACTGTCTAAATTCTAGGTCCCAATCTTGTAGTCTCACCTTTCATGATATCTATATGATCCTACCTAATAACCTACTTCCTGAAGAGCAAAGGCGAGTTTGGGAGCCGGCCAGACTACATGCAGACAAGGTTCACCGAACATATGCAACACCCCCTCCAGGGACAGAGGCAGTCCCCAAGCAGAACCACAAGACCCTAAGTGGAATTTTAGCTAGGGACTGATTTTTGACTTGCCTTCTAGCAGGTCTCCCTAAGGCTGCCCTCAAGCCAGTAACCCATAATAAGCTCTCAGAGGTCATTCAAGATATGAAGGAAAATCCTTCTGCAGTTTTGGAACGCCTCACTAAAGCCCTGTTCCAGTACACTAACTTAGATCCAGAAACCACTCATGACTCATTTTTTTAATCAGTGCTACCCTGACATCAAGGCTAAACTTAGACATTTGGAGAAAGGCCCCTTGACCCCACAGGCGGAAGTCTTAGAGTTGGCTTTTAAGGTGTACCATGCAAGGAAAGACAAAGCCTGAAATCACTGTCACGGGCTAGCCACGGCCCTCCGACTGGCTGAGGCAACAGACCGCCCAATCTGTGCTGTCCATGTTGCCCCCTTGCCCCCTGGGGCTCAAGAGCCACCAGGCCTGTGTTTCAAATGTGGGAGAGCTAGTCACTGGGCCCAAACATGCACTAATCCTCATCTTGGTCCCGTAAGACCTTGTCTAAGATGCTATGGGGAAGAACATTGGGCAGTCGATTGTCCTCGAGTACATTGTGGCATGGAGACATCGAACCCAGAAAATTCCCAAGTTGACCTTCAAGGTCTGGCCATGAATGAGTGAGACTGCCCAGGCTCCTTTGACCCGACCACAACCGTCATCTGTAACAGGGAGCCATGGGTAAACATCATGGTATCAGGATGGCCCATCTCCTTTCTCTTGGACACCGGAGCCACATACTTGATACTGAGGGAATGCTAGGGGCCTACCTCTCCTTCTAGTTTCCCTATTGTTGGGGTAGGAGGACAGCCTTATCTACCTCAGCAGACACCACCACTTAACTGTGCTTTTAGGGGTATTTATCTCACTCATTCACTTTTAGTCATGCCAACCTGCCCAGTACCTCTTATGTTTTTTTTTTGTTGTTGTTGTCGTTTTTAGCAAAAGTAGGAGCTTCCATTTTATTTTTTCCTTCCATTCCCCTTACCTCAGACTCTCCAACAGCTCCTCTCCTACTCCTTCTAGCCCCCCAACCTCCTAGCTCCAATGTGTCTTTTCCTCTAGCAGCCTCTCAGGTAGACCCCCAAGTCTGGGGCACCCAAAACCCCTCTGTTGCTAAAGACCATTTCCCCATCATTATCCAATTACGAGACCCTACTAAGTACATTACCCAAGCTCAATACCCCCTCTCTCTCCAGAGCCTCAGGGAACTTAAGCCTATGATCTCTGACCTTCTAAGAAAAAAGCTACTTCGACCCATTTCTTCTCTCTGTAACACCCCTATACTTGTTATTAAAACACCTGATGGAGCCTATCACCTGGTTCAAGACCTCTGGCTCATTAACTCTGCAGTGGTCCCTCTTCACCCTGTAGTACCTAATCCTTACACACTTCTTTCCACTATCCCTCAGGGACCTCCCACTTCTCAGTTCTACATCTCAAGGATGCCTTTTTCTCTATTCCTCCCAGCTCTCAATCTCAAAATATCTTTGCCTTCCCTGGGCTGACCAAGCAGCTAGAACAGCAGCATTCCAGAACCCAAACCTACATCAATCATCTCAGGGGTTCATACAGTACAACTCACATTCTCGCAGACACCCCCTAAGACCTGGCAAATTTTGTCCTACCTGCATCAGCTCTTTCATCCTAATTGCAAAGCTGTATTTCATTTTGTCAAGGCTTACCTCCAACCCACCCCTGAGGACTAAGAGTTCTTAAAAGCTATCACTGCCTGTTGTAAAATCTGTCAAAAGTCAGATCCCAAGACCAAGTATTATAGCTTCCCTTTTTCTACCCACCAGGCCAAGGGTTCCCTTCCAGGAACTGACTGGCAGCTTGATTTTACTCATATGCCCACAGTTAGACGAGTTAAATATCTCCTGGTTTTGGTGGATACCATGTCTGGGTGTATTGAAGTGTTTCCCACTACTAGCAAGGGGGCCCAGACAGTTTCTGATGTTCTTCTCCGAGAAAATATTGCCTGGTTGAAATCCCAACCTCTCTTCAGTCAGATAATGGCCCAGAGTTTGCCTCCCAGATCTCTCAAACTTTATCTAAGGCTCTTAACATTCTCTGGCATTTTCATATCCCATACCACCCTCAGTCTTCAGGGAAGGTAGCATAAACTAGCCATTCCTTAAAAAATGTTCTTGTTAAGATGTTACAGGACCTTCACCTCGATTGGGTAAAATTTTTGCCTCTGGCCCTTTTGGGGAGAGCTCTCCCCAAAACCTCCCCTTTCATCTCACCCTTTGAACTCATGTATGAGCAGCTGGTTTTAACCCCCAGCCTCTCACCCAAAACCTCTCCCCTTACTGATCACCTGCTTACTCCGCTGTTATCCCATCTTTGCTCCCTATTATGGGATTTTAATGACTACTCGTTAGCTCAACCATGTGCCAATTCAAGCCCACTGCCTATTAAAATAGGAAATCGGGTACTATTCTCTCCCCCAGACCAATGCCCCTCACCCCTTCCCCCTAAATGGCAGGGCCCCTTTAAAGTAATTTTTGTAACTCTCACAACTCCCAAGCTCAAGGGAGTCTCTCTACCTGTCTCACCTTAAACCTTTTACTTTTCCAACTCAAAATACTCCCTCATGTACAGTAACTCAAACAGGGCCCTGCTCCCTTAAGCTCCAGAGGACACCAAGATCAGCCACTTTTTTTTTCCAGTTCCAGAAAAATTAAAAGCTGTATCACTGTACTCAATCCTCGCCCAAAACTCCA